CAAAAGTTGAACTAGTGATCTTTGCCAAATAGTAAAATAATTCAATTCCAAATTATGTATTTCATTTTCATTATCAATAAAAATAATTCTTGTTTATTAGACATTTTTTAAGTTAATTAATAGAAATATCATAAATGTGTTAATTTTTTATATTTATTTCTATTTTAAAAATTTTATAACCTGACTATGACTTCATAAGTTGATATATATATATATATATGGGGGTGGAGTTTATATTGTTAAAAATATTGACATAGATCTAATTAATAGCATTTATTAGTGAAAAAATAATTTAAATATAGGATTTAATAAGAGAAAATGGGAGTTAATACCTTAAGTATAAGACTTAAAAAGAGGGTATTAAATGAGGTGGAAAGTAATAATTAAAACTACATTTTCAACCCTTACAATTAGAGATTGACTAAATGCATAAATATGAGAATTTTAGGAGCCATTAAAGATGTAATAAATAACTTTTATACCCTTTCTCAAACAAAGAAATAGAGGGTAATCTTAGTCCAAAAAACTTTCACTCTACATCCACACTTTTATATGTGGTATAGATATAGATTAACCAATTAATCAAGTAGTCATAAGGATGAACATGGGTTGGGTCGGACCATATGATACCAAAGAAATATATCATAATTACCAAAATATTATTTTTATAATCAAAATTCTTTATAATTACATTGGATTTGGAATTTTAAGTAAACCTATTGTTCCATTTTATGGTACTAGTAAATATGTACATGCATTTGCACGTGATAGTATCTCCAAGACAAAACTATTTACAATTCATGGACAGTTTTTGAACAGTTATAAGTGGRCAGTTTCTTAACTGTTACAAGTGGCAGTTTTTTTAGTGAGAGTAAATTACATATATGCTCTTTTTATGCCTATTGTATGTTACTTAGATAAGGGGTAAAAATGTCTAATGAAAAGCCCAGAAAATGGGGCTATTCACTCTTTTATTAATAGTATAGATATATGTTTTTGTTTAATTTTATAAATTTAGCATAAATTTATATACATTTACTAATATTTTAATTGAATCAGATCCAATTTGGATATCCAGATATATAAATAAATTGAACTAAAATCTATGTTTTTATACACATCCATTGGATATCAAATCGAATTCAGATCTCTCATATGGATTGGGATTGATTATACTCGATATCCCATTTGCTGCCTTAGGCCTAGCCTAGGATGTACATAATATATTCAGCATGTGGATCAGGCCGGATTGAAGGTTATTCCTGAGTCCTGTCCCAATCCCGAGATTTAGGAAGCCCAACATTAAGCCCAATCTGCACAAACTTGACCTAGCCCCAAAATAAAATCAAAACCCTTGGGTTGGGCTTGGGCTGGTCAGGTAGGGTTATTGAGTCAAAAGTACTGAATGCATGTTTGTATTTTGGGCTTCGGTTATCTAAGAGTTAGCCCCGGGCCCGGGCCTAGCCCAAAAAATAAAAATCCTGGTATCTTGGGCGCAAACCCAACCCGAGGACTGAAGATCTAAGGTCAATACATGTAAAATTTAACGACTTATTCACTGAGTTTGTATTTGATTTCATTGCCCTTTTCTAACAAAATGGTGCCACGTTGGAGTCACAACTGATTTTAAGAAACGAAAAATCAAAAAAACGCATGCATATGTTGTATGTGTTTTTGTTCCATGCCACGTTGGAGCCGCAGATATTGCTTTTGTTGTTTTGGTTGGACTTTCATGGGCATTTTAAGTAACACCCCCATAAAGTTATCCTCCAACTCAACTTACCATGTTCCAAGTAAGAATTTTATTTCAATAATCATTGGGGCATTGGGAGAAATCAGAATTTGAAGTTTCCCTCAATACATCATGCATATAAATCCAAGTATTTCTATTTTTTAATGTTTATTTAATAAACATTGAAACTAAATAGTGGCTTAATGCATAATAAACACCAACGCCTAAGTGGCCTTGATGCACAATAAACTAATGCCAACGCCTACTACAAGGGTAGAGCTAGAATTTTTTGTTGAGGGGCCAAAACCTAAAAAACATGGATAGGGGGGCCAAAAGCTAGAAAAAATGGGTAAGGRAATCAATATAAGTGGAATTTAAATGGATTTTATGGGAATTTTGAAGGCATAAGGGRGCCATGGCTCCCCTCCGCCACCCCCTAACCGAATGGCTCTGCCCCTGACCTACAAAACCAAACATAGCCGTTGTTGTTACGTTAGCCATTTTCTCAAAAAGAAAAAAAAAAAAAAAAAAACATTTTACCATTTTCACAAAAAATGGCCCATCTCAAAAACCAGTGTTTTTAACGCTTGTTTTTTTCTCAAAACCTTTTCTGGTATGATGACCAATGTAGATCCTACACGACAACGCCCAATGTATAAACGTTTTCTCAAAATCTCAAAAAACACAATACCCTTTTTCAAAAAAAAAAAAATTCAATGAAACCAAACACCTCCTAAAAGTTCAGTACAACAACTTTGGTCGTTATCATAAGGACTAGCGAGGAAGCCCTAGGGGAAAAATAGAAAAATGCTATTTGAAGATACAATAATAAATTAGGTTATATTTTTAAATAAAATAACTATAGTGGGTTCCAATCTGGTTTAGGGTTTTCAATAAGTCAGGACTAAGTAGAACCAGTCTTGAACTAATTATTTAATTGGGATCAAATCGTAGACATGATTATATTGAAAACAATAGTTAAAATAATACTAATTTATTTATATGTTAATAAGTTACACATCTTTAACTAATATTATCAAATTTACTATTTCAAACAAGAAAGAAAAAATTATATATTTCATAAAATATTTGGTTTCGGACTCAAATCAATTCTAAACAGACGAGAATCAATCCAATAATTAATCAAGACAAAACCACATAACCAAAACCGTTATAAACATGTTCAGACAATTTAGCTCCATCAGGATAGACCCAACCCATTGGTTCAACCCTATTTTTTCTTAAATAAATTAGCATTTATATAATAATTTATTAAATTGAATAAAATAAATAAATAAATAAAAATTTATTGGGATGGGACTAGTATAGGCTATCTCAAACTAGACTCGACCCGTTGACAGTCCTACATATGGGCTCAAGGGGAGAGAATAATTTGTTAGTAAATTATTTCTAAATAAATAAATAATTTAATAAAATAAATAAATAAATAAGTGGTTATTAAAATCTTTATCTCAATGTCACATCTCCTTTATTTTACTAATTTATTTTATTAAAATAAATAATTTATTTAATTTTATTAAATAAATAAATGTTTAGATAATAATAATAATAATGAAGTTAATTAATTAATAAATAAAAATTGAGATAGAGAATAGGATGAGAGAGAATCAAGAAAGAAGAAGGATGGCATTTTATTTATAGGATGGCATAATTGTAAATAATTGCATGTGGCACTCATGTAATTTTCGAATGCCATAGAGTCAATTACATAATGAGGTTTGCCTTATATGTAGGGATGGCAATTTCGCGGAAATTTTCAGGTATCCGATCCGTCCTAACCCTAATAGGACCCGTTTATCAAAACCCTATAGGGTTTGGGACAAGTTTGGGATTTGACCTTAAGGTATTCGATACTTGATACCCGAGATGCATAAACATGAACCTATTATATTATATGTCATGCACAAATTTATAAATTTTAAGTACTAAGATAATTATTCTATTATTAATATTTATTGGGATTAAAATCACCATTTGATGTAAATTTGGATTTGATAGATTGTTTATTTTATTTAGTTATAAAATGCTAATTTTAAATATTATTTTTTTTAATTTTTAGTTGGAATTGTTAACCATATATATGGATTGATTGTTTTGATGATCACAAAAGTTAATAAAATCTATTTTATTTCATTAAATAACACAAAAGGCGAGATGGCTTAGTGGCTTAAAGTAGTGTTAAGAGATTTGACGCTATCATTATTTGATCCGGGTTTAAGTGACACTATAAGCATTAAGAAATTTTTTTAAGTAGAAAACATTTGATCAAAGGGTTTAATAGGTGGGACGGGTTTAGCAGGTTTAGGACGAAATGGGTTTAGGAAATTAAGAGGAAAAGTTAAGCAGATCTGAGACAAGTTTGAAATCAGGAATACATAAGTAGGTTTAAGAATAGATTGGGCAATTTGCATAGATACCCTACCCATTGCCATTCCCACTTATATATGGTACTCCTATAATTTTTTAATATCATAGAGACAATTGCATGGAAAAGTAAATAAGGTGCATTCATCTTATATATGATATTTTTATAATTTTCAAATATTATATAAGGAGGGAGGTTTATCGTATATGTGAAATTCTTATAATTTTCGAATTTAAAAGTAAAAAGAGGTGGAACTCTGATAAAGAAAAAAAGAAAGGGAGCAAAGGAGAGAGGAAGGAGAAACTCTGTCAATAATTTAAAGCATACTTGTCAAAAGAAAATCACGTCTAAACTTTCAAATGCCATCGTACATACATATTCCCAATGCTTTTGTATATAGTTATAATTGGGCCAAGCCCAAAACATGGTAATTACGCCCAACTGCCGCCCTAGTGGCATCACGATCGGTGCGAGCATTCCATTCGATAAATCCCCGCCCTCACGTGATTTCTCAATGTTGTTATAAAATGCCCCTGCTATTTTTCATAATTACGGGTGTATAAAAGTGGTTTCTTGTAACTTAAGAGCTAAGATGCTGCATTTCAACAACACCGAAGACCGAACAGCTAAGCTAAGCATTTACACAGCGCTACAAGTACACGTGTCCTACCCCAATGAACGTGGTGCTCCTGGCAGTTATTTGTGATTACTCATATCACCCCAGAAACATACAATATTTCAATTTTACTAGTGGCTAGAGGAGGGGGATTCAGAGAAGTGGAGAAGGGTAGTTCTGTCATTCTGCATGCACATGTGTAGGGCCCACCATCTTTTGGCGCCAAATGCAGACGGAGGGATTGGCTGGAAGGGAGGGGACCAGTCTCATTATGTGATTTTTCTCTTGTCTGTTTCTTGGGTGAGAGAGAGAGAGAGAGAAGGGAATTTCACTTGAGCGACGGAAATAGTAGAGATTAGAGAGTTCGATCGAGAGAGAGAGGGAAGAGATGAGGGAGATCATAAGCATTCATATAGGACAAGCAGGGATTCAGGTCGGGAATTCTTGCTGGGAATTGTATTGCCTCGAGCATGAAATTCAACCAGATGGGATGATGCCTAGGTTTGTACGTTATGTGATTTATTTTGGAAACTTTCTTCTTTTATGAGTTTTGTTCCTGAATTGGATTTATTAGGTTCGTCATTGTAATTTTTGTTGCATTTTATGGTTTTTCTTGTTTGAGTACATTCTGGTCTTCAATATTATATTAGAAAATGTAAGTCAATTGGATCAAAATCATGCCTAAGTATGTATATGTTTGTTTCTCCGTTTCTTGTGATTTTTGTTGGATTTCTGTAAGTGAATTCATTAGATTTCTTTTCTGGTTATGGATTTGTTGGATTAATTGAAAAGCATGTTGTTTGATCTACATTATACTTTATGCACCATTCGATCTGTTATTTTCATGAATCTGTGTGGTTTATGTTCTCAAATTTGGAATCCATTTGCGAATTTAGAGGAAATTCGTTCCAACCTGATGGGCGAAGTACATTAGGCGAGTTTTAGACGGTTAGCTGCCTAAGTTGTCTTGGGAAAGAACCACATCTCCCGTATCCGTATGTCTATGGGTAGCAGAAAATATTCTCAAAGCAAGGTTACAAAATTGAAGATACATGCCAACCGATAAAAAGAGGAAACACTAGTACACAGACAAATGAGCAAACACCAAACAAGCAGCATGGGAAACACCATAGTTTACATGGAAAACCCATCAGTGAGAAGGAAAAAAACTATAGGGCAAATCTAGAAAATTTGCACTATAATCCAAATAGAAGTAATACAATTTTGATGGTTTCTCAAGCTCCCCAAAACCTGAGGTATTACAACGAAATGGAGAAAAATATAGGGTTACCTCTTTGATGTATTACAACAACACAAGCGCTCACCACAAGAACCTTCACGAGAAAGAAGCCAACTACACCAGAACCCGGAGCTGCTACATGGTCAGAAATGGCATTCAAATGCTGAAAATGGTGAAACACAATCTCCTTTAAGCACCAAGTAAACCAAAACCGTTAATTTCCCTCCTTTTTTTCTCAACTCACTCCTTTTGGAAGAAAACATACACATAATTTCCATTTTTAAATTTCTATAATGCCATATCAAGTATTGGACTTATTTCAAGACAATAGAGGAGATACATTGTGGTTAGATGTTTTGATTGTTCTATTTGGAAATATCTTTGTAATGACTTTTTGCTTTTTTATTTCTAGGAGTGGAATTTTCTACCAAATGAAATGTGCTTAAAAATTTTCCTACTTTTAGTTGTTCTAGTTTTAGCATTTTGAACCATGAAGGTATGAAATATAATTCTCTGTATAAGCCCATGGATATGGCAATGGCAGTTTACTCCAAAAGCCTGAGGAGTAGGGATGGAAACGGGGCGGATTCGGGGAGGGTTTTGCAAATTCTAGACCCTACCCACACACCTCCCTAGGCCTCTCAACCTGCACCCTCCCTAAAACCCGTACGGGTTTGATTTTCAGAACCCAAACCCTCCCTGCGCATAAAGTGCAAAACCCTCCCCAACCTTACCCACATCCAAACCCTCCCCCTCCTTGGAGTGACTGCACTAATACCCTCCAAAGAGGGATCAGGCTGCCATAGTTCCTTGCGGAATGTCAGTGATCTGAGAGAAGAGAGAGAAACTTGTGCCTGTTAGGGGGAGAGAGAGAGAGAGAGAGAGAGGCTGAGAGGAATGGGAAGGGTTTCCAAGAGAATGTTGGTGCAGGAAGGACTTGGGAGGAAAAAATGCCAATGGAGTGAGTGAGCTCCCTCTTAATTTCTAAATATCTATTATTTATATTTTCTATTTATTAAGTGGAGGTGTTTATGGAACTGTCCATGCCACATCATCCAAGGTGACCAGATGTCAGCCATTATAATTATAATTCGCTCTTAATTATTGCTTGATGATCCAGGTTGGTCATTGGTAAAGGTTAATTAAGTTCTGATTCAAGATGGACTAGACCAGGTCTGTGGTGGTTCAAATATCTATGCTCTTACACTCTGATTTTCAATCTATGATTCCACTCAGTCTGGAGTGGAATTCAATTATATTCCACCCCCAATTCCAGATGATCTAATCAAAGGTGGAAAGAATTTGGACATTGAAATTTTTTCTCTTTTCCCTATCTTTCTTATTCATCTTGTTTATAAATCCTTTGCTAAGATTATGATAGACAAGAAAGGAACCAAAATAAGGCCCAATCCTAAGCCCATGTTCCTTACAGCCATACTTGGAGCCCACAAACAAGACAACCCATGCACTGGGCTCATTCCAGCTTTTTGGCCAACTCAAGTTGAGTTGAGGCCATGGAGATTCTCTCAATCAAAGATTTGATTTGACATCAAATCAAATGAAAATTGAGAAAATCTTTTACATAGATTCAGATTTCAATGTCTTCCTTTTGTTAGCAAGCATTTCTTTGTTCAGTTACATTTGTTAAAAAGACACTTATCTTGTAAATCATAAAAAAAGATTTGATATTCATCTATATATTTCATTGTAAAAACTCTTTTAAATGGATGAATGAATTTGAATTGCCCTTGCAATTTTATGGATTGGTGCTGACTCCATTAGGACCTATCCTTATTTATTGCAGGTAGTTTAATCCTTTCTTCTGTTGAATCTCTGTCTTATTATTTTGGGTTTGCTTTTCTTATTATTCTTATATCATTTTTTCAAATATCTCCCCAACTTCTTCATTCCTCTTCTTACTTTTATATCATTTTCTTTTCTTTCCCTTTATATTTTTTATTTCTAAATTTTTGCAATCCTCTAGGACAGCTGCCACCCTCACCAGCTCTTTCTATTTACTTAACAAACCTGTAAACCCTTCTTGAGCTTATCTTCACCCACTCATCAACTCTATTTTTACTTATTCAATTGATTACTTAATCTCTTTGTTGGGAAAATCAAGACTAAGTAAACTAACAAGCCAAGGGCTTTGTGGCATGTTTCCAGCTTGCTTAGAGCCCATTTCAGCCACCCAAATAGCTGTTGTTTACATGGTCCTGCATCAGAATATCTACATTTTCCCCTTTTTTCCAACGTTGTGCCTGTACAAAATTGTTTTATTTGGCGATATATTTTGGCATGCCTGAGATCAACAAATTTTCTTTCTTTCTTTATCATCCAGCAACAAGTTGAGTTGCAGCTTGATTGAAGAAATTTCATCTGTAAAAATGTCCAAAGTTATCCTGGAGGGTATTCGCCTATCCCAGAGATATCCTTAAGTTCCTTTCAGGTTGGTTGAGAAGGGCAGTTTCACAATTGATGTCTAACAAATTATATTGAATTTGCAGTGACACTTCAGTAGGTGTTGCACATGATGCTTTTAACACCTTCTTCAGTGAGACTGGTACTGGAAAGCATGTACCTAGAGCTGTATTTGTTGATTTGGAATCAACTGTCATTGATGAAGTCAGAACTGGGACATACCGACAACTTTTTCATCCAGAGCAACTTATTTCTGGAAAGGAAGATGCTGCTAATAACTTTGCAAGAGGACATTACACTGGTGAATAACATGCCTTTTAGAATTAAATTTTTGGCACATTTCATCATGTTCTTATGAGTGATTAACTTGGTTTGACATTGTCTTGCAGTGGGGAAGGAAATTGTAGATCTATGCCTTGATCGAGTGAGGAAATTAGCTGATAACTGCACTGGTTTGCAAGGGTTTCTGGTATTTAATGCCGTTGGTGGTGGCACTGGTTCTGGTTTGGGTTCTCTGTTGTTAGAACGCCTGTCTGTGGATTATGGGAAAAAGTCAAAGCTTGGGTTTACCATCTATCCTTCACCTCAGGTACTTGTATCACATATTCCGAAAGTTATCTTGTAATAGATTTAAGTCACATAAAAGGTAATGCTATCATACACTTGACATGTAGCCTGTAGCCTGTATCATTTGCTTTAGCTACGAGCATTCAACTCAGGTTGGGTCTTATTGTCCTAAATTGCAGGTTTCTACTGCAGTTGTGGAGCCTTATAACAGTGTTCTTTCCACCCACTCTCTCCTTGAACATACAGATGTGGCTGTGCTCTTAGATAATGAAGCTATATATGACATTTGCAGGAGAGCCCTAGATATTGAGAGGCCAACATACACAAACTTAAACCGCTTGATATCCCAAATCATCTCCTCTTTGACTACTTCCTTGAGGTTTGATGGAGCCATCAATGTTGACATTACAGAGTTCCAGACAAACCTTGTACCATATCCCCGCATCCATTTCATGCTCTCCTCATATTCCCCTGTCATCTCATCTGAGAAGGCATATCATGAGCAACTATCAGTTCCTGAAATCACAAACGCAGTCTTTGAGCCATCAAGCATGATGGCAAAGTGTGACCCAAGGCACGGGAAGTACATGGCCTGCTGCTTGATGTACCGTGGAGATGTTGTTCCCAAGGATGTTAATGCCGCAGTTGCAACCATCAAGACCAAGAGAACTGTTCAATTTGTTGACTGGTGAGCAAGCACGCATCTAATTACTTATCACAAACTCATACTCGTGTACACACATGCATAGTATTATAGATGGGACATGCGATCTGATGGACCATCCATTTGAGAACATTACCAGCGCCTAAATGGATGTGAATGGATGACTCTCAGGCTCTCAGCATGCCGTCCATTTTTCATTTCTTTGTGTTGGATGGCGAAAGGAAATGCTGAGTGGGGGTGGAAAATGGATAGTTTGGGTTGGGTGGGTTGGATGCAGGTCGAAGGCCAAGTCGTCCACCAACCACTGACGTCTATCAGTAAAACATATTTCTAATATAAAACTATGTAAACCATTATATTGAGAAAAAAAATATCTTTGGGTTTCTCTATAATGCCACATGTCCTTGCCTTTTTGTTCAACCCAAAAATAAAAATTGGACTTTATTAAAAAAAGTTGGAGAGAAAGGAGAGATGAGAGGGAGAAGCCACATAAGACATAACCAATAGAAGAGAAAATCTCAAGGAGATAAGAGTATTGAGTGGAGAGAGAAAGAAAGAAAGAAATGGAAGAGAGAGACAAAAGAGGGAGAGCAGGGAGAAGGAATGGATGGGGGAGAGAGAGGGAGAGAGAGATAGGAGAGAAGAAAGAGTATAAACAGATAAAAGAAAGTAGAGAAAATTGGAGGAAGAGAGAGGTGAGAAAACAAAAGTTGGGGAGAGTTGTCTTGTGGTACCAAAAAAAAAAACTTCTTTTGTGTGCTAACCGAAACGGATGCCCATAACCCAACCCTTTTTATTTGACCGATGGGGGTGCGCAAACCCAGAGTTATAAGTGAATGGATTGGATAGGTCAGGTGGTTGGGTCAGAAATTGCCACCTATTGCTGACTTTGCCATATATTCACTGCATGTATAGAGGAGCTTTTGTTAATTTGGTGGAATATAGTGGCAATGGTCAATCTTGTTTTAGTGCTGCTTTCTCTCAAGTCTCAACTGATAGACCTCGGTTGGTGAACTACAGGTGTCCAACAGGGTTCAAGTGTGGAATCAACTATCAACCTCCAACTGTGGTCCCTGGGGGCGATCTGGCGAGGGTGCAACGTGCTGTATGCATGATCAGCAACAACACAGCAGTAGCGGAGGTGTTCTCACGCATTGATCACAAATTCGATCTCATGTATGCCAAACGAGCATTCGTTCACTGGTATGTGGGTGAGGGCATGGAAGAAGGGGAGTTCTCGGAAGCCCGTGAAGATTTGGCTGCCCTTGAAAAGGACTATGAGGAAGTTGCGGCAGATGGTGTTGATGATGAAGATGAAGAAGGTGAGGATTATTGAGTAGTTTGCAACGTAGTAGTAGTGGTTTGTTTGCGGGTGCAGTGACTTGTTACAATTTGGTCGGTCATCTCTTCTCATTGCTACTCTGGCCTTTCTTTGGTGGTTGTATTATTTCCCAGGATACCATTGTATCGGTGATAAAATATCCCAACTTATTTAGTCGGATTCAGATAAGCCTGGCACTCCTGTTTCCTGTATTGATAAATTTGATATGACACTTGATCCCCCCGCGTCTATCACTTAAGCTGTTGTATGTTATTTAGGGCCCGTTTAGTTTGCGGGAACAGAGGTTTGGAATCGGAATTGAAATGGATCATTCCAATTTCAACTGTTTGATTGGTCAGAATCGAAACCCATTATCATTCCCGATGCAATGGCATTTTTCTATTTCCCTCTTCTTCCTTCTCATTCCAGCCAATTCCAATTCTGATTCAGATTCTTGTCTGAACCAAACAGATACCACTTTCGATCATGTGGGATTTTGATTCTGATTCAAATTCTAATTCCAAATCTGACAGTGAAGGTTAGAAATTTCTTACCAGAAAAAAAAAAAAAAATAGTCCAATGCCGAGCTAAGCCCAGACCAGACCATATTAGTCTAGTTTAGTGGCTTAAAAAATAAAATTAGTCTAATTTATTGCATTCCCTACTGATAAGCAAGGTTTCAAAGGGTGTTTGTAATATGTGGACATGGATGTGGCTAAAGGACTGAATAACATCTAATCATGAGTGTGGGTAAAACATTGTTTACACTCAACGTTCTTTTAATTGAAAAGACGAATGAATACCTGAATTAATTATGGTGTCGTGCAGAGGCTTTCAAAACAGCCCAAGCTGGCTGTTTTTTCCAAACATCAAATGGGATCTATTCAACGGCCAGTCCAGATTCTTGACAAATGGGGCAGGTGGTCAGCCCCGTGTACTGGTAAGAGGAGACCGGATCTGCTCCTCACATCTGGCGTCTCACACATCCTGTTATGCATTGCTCCCATACTTATTAGTTATTATTCACGGTAGATGTTCTCAATGCACGGTGGATGTGCTTGTGAGGCACTCATTTGTGAGGAGCAGATCCCGTCACAGATAAGAGTATGAGACCCTCTGTGATTTGGCCCCCCGCAATGGCAAAATCGGATCTGCTCTTTATGGAGTGCGTCTCACACCAACCTCATAGAGCATCGCAGGCATGTATTGGAAACATTTTCTGTACAAGATCGCCAGGATTTGGCAAGTCTTTCCATAGTCTTCTGGGCTTCAAAAAGCTCGAAAGACCGAAAATTGATCTTTTTTTCATTGATAACCAAAAGTTGAAAAGATGAAAAGATGCCTCTGAATGTGTTTTTAAAAGCTCAATAGACTGAGGCACTGAGCCTCTTACCAAACAATCTGTCTTTAAAGTATGGTTTTCAAAATCGGACCGGACCGGACCGGAAAAACCGGGAACTGGTCAGATGGCCTGTTCTGTTTTCCCCAAAACCGGATTTCCCCTCAAAACCATTGATTTTGGTCAGTGAACCGCTGAACCTGGCAGTTAATCATTCAAACAGTTTTGACCATTTTTTATTTTTTTGTCAGAACGGGCTGAGTGTTTGGTTCGAACGGTCTACCGTTCGACCCAATAATCAGACCCTTGACCGGGTCAGTTTTAAAAACCATGTTTTAAAGACAACCCCAAAAACTCAATATATCTTTTGATTATCTGAGCTACTAAAAGATCTTTCTAAAAAGACTTGCCAAACACTACCATGTCATCATCCATGTAAAGTGTTCCCAATGCACAGCTGCGATGCACTGCAAGGATGGTTTGAGGCGTGCTCTGTGTGAGCAGATCGGAACTCCACAACGGCATTCTCACAATACTTTTACCTTGTATTAAAGGTAAAAACATTAGCACGCATGGACATTGAATCCTTTCAATCTTCAAAATATTGACAAGAGTTGAGGCATATCGAGCTGTATTGATAGTTTTTTTTTTTTTTTAAATTCGGTTGAAAGGGCCGGTTTAAGATTTACTCACCCCCTGAACTGGTCAAAACCCTCATAGACCTCTTATAGGAACATATTGGCAATCTTCCCATACGATACGTATATTGATACTTTGAACCTTGCTTTCAACATTGAAACCTTTTTCTGAAAGACACAGGACAAAAATTTATAGGCATTGAAAGTCTGGAAGCCCTCATGATTCACGACTTTGGCCCATCTATCTAACCCTATACACGGTGGTGTCAAACTCCTCATCAGTCAATAGGCATACTCGGCCTCACTCAGTCACTCTCACACAGTCGCAAAGAATTCCCTTGTGCCCAGTTTGATACATTACAATTAAATTAAATTAAGGGATTTTTGGACTACAATCCCCCTCAGAAATCTGAATTGCAGCCCCCTCAGAATTCAATTCACCCCTACAGTGGAGCTCCTACAATTAAACACTTACCGACCCACCCCCACAATCGAGATGTACACACCCATAAAGATAAAACCATTGCGACTCTCACTGAAACCGAACCGAACAGATCAAATTCGGAATCAGTCCCCAGGCTAATTGCCAAGACAGAAACTATGCCATTGTTGGTTAACATTGGGCCTGTGGGCTTATTATTTCCGGATGCCTTTCTAAAGCAGAAGGAACCCGGATGCTGCAATGCATTCATAAAGCTTGCTACCTAAAACACATGTCCCCCAGCTTTTCCAATCATTTTGAGCATCCAAAGCAACACCATTACCTGATTACCTCCTCAATCCTCATATGACACCGCATGCGATATTGCAACATAATACACCTATCCAGTTTGACAATAAGGTAGTCACAATATATAAAACAAGCAACATGTTGTGTTATTCATTGGAGCAGGGAAAAACATCTCTAACAACAGTACACTAGTCCAAGATAAGTACACCATGGCAGAAACAGAAAACTTAATCATCCACACAACAAATTATTATTGTTCCCTTCGTGAAGACTGCCTGCCCAACTCTAAACCGGCATCTCTCCTGATCCATGCGGGAGAACCACAAAGTTTTTACCTTGATTCGGGGTGCGGGCATTCTTTGTCATATACTTCACCAGCATATTTCCAGTTAATAACCTTCCATATATTATTGAGATAGTCAGGTCTGACATTCTTGTACTGCATCATGACAAACCAAAAGTCAACAACAAAGAATAGGAAGCACCAGCTAGTTGAACTTAGCCAAGCATATTAGACTAACAAGAAAATATACAGCTGAGAATAAAGGATTAAAATAAAATCATTCAGTTAAATGCGTCGCATATGCTAGAATGAATGCACATCCAGACACTTGCATTAAGAATTCCCGTTCTGTGATATTCACAATTCTGACAAGCCGATCAAATGTTGTAACAGAAGTGCATAATGATCCAGTAAGATTAGAATAATTAGATCATTCTGCTGAATGTTTTCTCCTATTCAGCCATTTGGAAAAATGAACACACCAATCCTGACTATAAAGGAGAAAATTAGTCCTCCTGGACAAGCCACATCTTCATTGCCAACTCCTGGTTTATCAATTATCATGAACAGGACCCACTTATTGTATGCATGAATGCGTGTGCATACGTGCACGCCTGTTTGTCCTTTTGACTGCATAAACAAGGCATCTTCAAACTGTCTTATAATTTCCAGTTTGACATGGAAAACGATGATCAAATGAAATACATGCCCCCCAAATTGAAATTTTTCACAAGGCCTGATTTTACCACTGCCTAAGGATAATGATAGAGTGAAGAAAAAGAAATGGAAAAGGGAGCTTGGCAGGTGAATTGCTGAAGAACATGAATAATGGCAGATTTGAGTATCTCTTGTATGAATGATCTCAAAGACAGAACTCACCTGCAAGTAGTATGCATGCTCCCACACATCTATCCCAAGCAAAGGAACTAAATTTGGCCCCTTGGTAACCAATGGATCCTGTAACAAGCTAAATCAAGTTAAAATGATACACGCATACGATATGATGATGCACTATAATTATATCCTCTACAAGAAAAAGAATAACCATAGAACAAGACAGCTCTCACACAATAAACAAAGAAAATGCATATATAAGCAAGGAAAGATGCTAAACTAATCCCAAGTTAAAGCTTTCAAAATTTTCTCCAGTATTATCAGAGACCAAGACCAGTGATCAAGTGAACTTTCTGGGTCCTGGTATTTAATGATATTTTTACAGGCCGAACAATTTAACTGCTGATTAAACTGGTACGCCTGTAACCAGTAAGCTTGCAGTTTTACATAAGATAGGGTTCTAAGAACATTAATTTATTCAAAACCTAGCAATGGAAGCTTTCAGCAGAAGCTAATACTCCAGACAGTGGTTGATTAAAAGACAGCACAGAAACCAATGCATTAAATTGGGAGGGGAGATGTTCCCTAAACTTTGTGATAGATAGACTACTTTTACCTGCAAAATCAAGCATTACAAATTTCCTAAATAATTGGTGTCAATTGCCATCCCTTACAGAAAGCAGAAACATTAGTCTTATAGGAGTAACAYATGTTTTCTTTTAGATAAATTTGAGAGTTACATATATTTATTCTTCTTCATTTATCAATAAATTGCCTAAAACCATAGAAATATTGGTCTTGCAGAACTCTTTTGATAATGGGATGATTAGTTTGTGACATTTACTTGGGTCTCCAAGCTTGATAACAAACTAAGATTCAGAGTACTCTTATGCTGAAAAAAAAGGTCATCCATCCACCCTGAAACAATGTCCTCTGAGGCACTAAAAATTCAATAACTTAATCTGTATACCAAATCATTACCAGAAAACATGATATGCATCGGAACACACAAAATACCAGTATGATTTCAGAACTGTGTAACTTCACCTGATTTGCTGTTGTTTCAACCACAAGTTTTTGTGATTCTTTATCCACGCCTAGCCACTGCCAGTTTAAAACACGAGAAGGAAGAAAAGGCAAGAAAGATAATTAACAGGTTGAAATTTGAACCACCTAGTCAAAGTCTCAAAGAAAAGAAAATAAAATGAAATGAAACAACAGAACTTTAACATGGAGCCAAACTTACCACCCAACCAGAACCTTGCAGAGCAGCACCTTCTGCATTTACCTTTTTCACCAATGCTTCAAATGAACCAAAATGTGTGTCAATAGCCCAACCAAGGGCACCATGGGGGGGCTCTCCACCTCCTTCCTGCAAGAATGTTTTGGTAAAACATGCTTAGAATTCTTAACTTTAACAGCAAACAAACAAACAAACAATAAAGATAAACTTATGAGGTATAAGAATTCACTTACACTAGTAGGAATGAGATTTTTCCAGAAAATAGAGTGATTGATATGCCCTGCAATAAAAATTTACTATTATTCATTAGACTAAATAGAGAGTAAATACGACCAATAACAACAAATGATAATGATGATGTTGGTGACAATACCAAGTGGACAAGTCTGTTAAATAATGCAGGAATTGACATAAGAAACATCTGTAAATTATGGCAACATGTGCCTTAAAAAAATGGCTAACAAAGAAAGCAGAAGTCCTCCTAAATAGTAAATATGCTAGAAGGCAATATACGATGCATTTTCCCTGTTAAAGAAGAAAGCATGCATAACGTTCTTTGGAGAAGCGTTCTCCCTAAAAAAATGTTCTCTCCAAAGAGCTAATAGTTGTCTAAAACTCATCTCTTTGGTTCTATCTCAAATGTTATCAGACACTGTATACAGTCTCCTCTGTTCAGAGGAGAATTTCATGTATCTTCAACAACTGATGAAACGCCAAGAAGCTAAGAAACCCTTCTGGAATTCCTTTACCAGGCGCTTTACTACTCAATTTTGTCACAAATGCATTACTCAAGCACCGATCAGTAGATAAAGGTGTAAAGAAAGGAAAGGGCACTTGCAAATGCAGAAAAAGGTCATAGTCCTCGGCATACCACGTTATCAAGCAACAAAATACAGTGGATTGGAAGAGAAAGACTGAAAAAAGACGAATCACAGGAAAGTGTGCTGTCACATTTAGTAGATTTAATAATAAATCCCCTATAAGAACAGTAATCAATAAATGAACAGAAATGAGAGCATATATCGAAGTGAATGAAAAAAAAAAGCAATTACCTCCCCCGTTAAATTTGATGGCGGCCTGCAATTTAACCACTGCGGACGAATCGCCCTTGGCCATGGCTTCCTCGAGCTGCTCAAGAGCCTTATTGTAGTTGGTAATGTAAGTCTGATGGTGCTTCTGGTGATGGAGCCGCATAATTTCCACACTTATGGCGGGTTCAAGAGCACTGTAATCGTAAGGAAGATCAGGAAGCGTGAAGGTCTGCAACCCCCGAGCATGACTAAACCCTAACCCTAGACTTCCGAGGGTTTTCCGACTGATGACAGATCGCAAGGCCATGGCTGCTCCTGAACCCTTCCAATTTGATCAGCGCAAAGAAGACAAACGTCAAGTTTGGGCTTTTATATCAAGTTGGACGGTTGTGATTCTATACATCGGCGTACCTTTTTTCGGTAAATTATACATTACTAATTTACTATCGTGTAATTACCCCATATTTTATTATTATAAAATCATCTCTAATATTTCATTGTAAAAAAAAAAAAAAGATTGACCAACTAGACTAGACTAGACTACTAGAGACTGCTCGTGTAATTTCATTTTTTTTACTTTCTTTACATTAAATTCAGGGAGAAAAACGGTTCAGCAGGGACAGAATTTTTAACACTTTATGGGCGGGCATGTATAGAGTCGGCGTTTTTGACATTTTGAATATTTATAGATTTATAGTAAAATTTAAAAATTTGCATTGGATCTGTCCGTATTTTTCTGTATTTCAATTGGCTCGTTAGGGTCAAAATTTTCATTTATATTATCATTTAATGGAATATCAATTAAGTAAATTAATTGCAAATTATAAGAAGTGTATTAGTAAAATACAATCTATAAAGTAGATTTTAATAAATCRTTGAAATTATAGGGGTGTTTTAGTAAATGACCCAAAAAAGTAAGGACCCTATAGGAGATTCAAGCGCCGATTAATATGAAAGAAAACTGATAATAAATCTATACTACTTTAAAAAGCACAAATGATCTTAAGAGTATTTCTGSAATTTTCTAAAGACACAATTTACCCCTATATATTTAAATTTATTGATAAAAAAATGAGGGCAAATAGGGTAATCGGTTCTTCATATTAAATGAGTTGAAAAGAGGTAATTTAAATATATTCAATGCATTTAATTCTCTCTCATTAAATTCAATATTTAAGTTATTAACTTGCATATTTGTTCATTGAATTATATATTTAAGTCATTTTTGTTTCTTCTCATCATTAAGTTCTATTAATTAAATCCATACTTAATAAATTAATAATTCAAATAACATAAAAGTTTATACTTTTAAAATCTACCTAGCAAAAATAGTGTTTTCATCTACGTGGTGGTAAAAAATTAAATCATTTTGGGTCAAATAGGTTAATCCATGTTACCACGATTAAATATAAAATTAAAAAAAAGTTAAAAGAAAAAAATAGAAATTAAAAAAATCGAGAACATTTTTAACATACATATTAAACAACAATAGCTATGATAAATAAGAAACTTTTTTATTAATGATGGAAATGGAATGTAAAATTTAAAACCAGTTAGAAATAAAAATATTTTCCTATTCTCTCTTATTAAATCMTATATTTAAGATACACTTTTCTCATCATTAAATTCTTGTAATTAAATTCACAATATTAATTTTAATAGAATAAGTGTATAACAATAAATATTTTGAAAAATTAATTTAAAAACAAAACCATTTTCTTCCCTCTCGGTGGTGGGTAAGCAATTCGACCATTTGGGGGTCAAATGGATTAATAAATAATGTCATAATTAAATGATAAGCATTAATATAAATAACTATGAAATGTAAAAAGCATTTTTATAAATGATGAAAATGGAACACCAAATTATAAATCTACCTAGAAATGAAATGATGTCATAATAAAATAATAAAACTTTTAATAATAAAAAATACAAAGAATCACAAAAATAAAAAAAAAGATAGACAAAATTTTGGACACATATCTATTGTTATATATTTATAAAAAATAAAATATTGGGTACATCTCTAATATTGCCTATTCATTATATTGAACAAAATAAAATTTTATACATAAGAAATGACTTTATCAATGATAAAAATGTAATACAAAATTTAATGTTAACCTAGAAAATAAACAATTTTTATTTTTAGATGGTAGGTTAGTGGTTTGAGTCAAATAATACTATAGACAAACAAAAATCAAGTGATAAGTAAAAAATATTTTATATAACATAAATGAAATATATAATTTAAAGAAAAAATTATAATCAAAGTTGGTTTTACATTTAAAATTAGATTGCAGGTTGGTTCAGAAACCAATAAAACTTTGACAACCAGCTCTACATTTCAAATTATAAAAACCCCTGCCATGACATTGGAGGTTTATGTGGCTGTTGCCAATATGGGACTCTTAGTCCATGTTGGACACAACTAAAAGCTATTCTAATACATCTCTTAAAATCATCTTTTCAATACACCTTACTAGACCTAGCAAAAAGTTGACTCAACCCAACCCGAAAAAACAAGGTTAGGGTCTCATATTTAGCTACCTGAATGTGAAAATGACCCAACCCGACACAACCCAAAAAAATGGGTTGAACTGGTTGGGTCATGGGTCAACCCGCTAACCGAATTGTCAAGTCTAATTGAGATTATTTGTGCATTGTTAGACGTTTCCACTTTTTAATTTWTTTTCTATTTAGTCTTTACTTTTTATTGTTTACTCATTAAATTGTTAAATGTTCAAACTTTTTATTTTATATTTAGAATTTTAAGGTTAATTCTTTTAATTTTGACATTTTCCATGTAATTTTTCTTTATTTTYTTAAGGGATGACCCGAATTGATCCATGAGTCAACCCTAACCCGAACATTTAGGGTTAGGGTCTAGCATTTGATAACCCAACCCRAAATTCAACCCAACCCAAAATCAACCCGAAGTACCTTCACGCAACCCAAACCCAACCTACCCAACCRACCCAATTGCCAGGTCTAAACCTTACATTTCCTATACTTTGAACCTTGATCTCTTATGAGATCCAAAGACCTCTGTATCACATCCACTAAAAAGTAGAATCAATATCAATATTTGGAGGTCTGTACTGGAATCTGGACTGAGCTTGTTAGATCCAAGCGGCTACGGTTTCCCAAGTATTAATGCAACTCAGCCCACCGCCCAGAAATCACCAATTTACAATCAAACTTAATGCTGCTATCTCCAGTCCACTGAACAGAACCGATACCAGAGTGCAAGAGCAATGACTTTATGTATGGAATCACAACAATGCCCGTGGGGCTACACACGAATTTAAATTTTGACATCAYAAGGAAAGAGTTGACAATGGACTAAACTTTCTCTAAAGAAATAATATATGAATGAATATTGAAAGGAATATATAATTTAAACTCCATAATTTGCAAGATCCTCACATTCCGAAGGGACAAAAAAAATGAGAAGAAAAATAAACACCAAAACTGATACAAGAATTGCCTAAACCACAATTCTCAACCTCGCGCACTGACCAACAAGGACCTCTCTTAAAGCCACAACTGCCATCTTTTTTCTTTACTTTTTTTCCTGCTCTGGAAAAAAACCTGGACTATGAATTTCTTGTAATATACACATACTAAACCAAAACTTTTCCTTCACCTGCACAAACTTTCACCCTCAATCAACCATCGAAATGACACCGGATTGCCAGAAAAATCCACACCAAGGGAATGATGGGGACACATTTATGGAAAAAGAATGAGTAATGAACATATATGATTGACACAAACCGACGGGACAGCAATTTCTCCAAGGGGGGTATAACAATATGCCCCTTTCATGCCAGCGAACTAAGATGAGAGAATGGATTGCAATGCAAGCTGTTGTTGAGGCTGCAACGATGACCAGGTTGATGCCAGGGTAGAAGGTGGTAATGTTTGCTGAAGCTGCCTCAACAAATTAATCATCCGGCTGGCAGTTTGCTCTGTTGCTAGATCTTTCCCCGCACATAGAACCTACACCCAATAAGGCAAAAGATTAAAATTCAAGAAATTAAGGAATGAAACAATCCGATCATAAAATTCTAGTAAACACTGATTTCCATTTGTTGTAATCAACATGTAATAGCCCCCCATACAAATCCCACAGAAAAGAACAATTCCTGAGCGACTCATTTACCTGGGAAAGTAATACTCTACTAGGCTAATATGTGATGAGTATTGTCCCTTCAATAACGTCGCTTTTTTGGATAAATTGGTCATTTCACACCTTTACCTTTGGAATAAAAGAACATTGGTATGTGCTCGTCTGAGCAAGTATATCCCAAGTGGCGTATTAAGAAATGTATACGCCAACTTAACACCAATTATTTGAGGTTGGCTACAACAGGAATCTTATCCTGCCATTGTGCTCCATCAAATGCTCCATTGCCATTATCCTTTTCTATTATGTTACAATCATTTAAAAAAARAATGCCACCATCTAGAGGTGCTGTGTATTTGTAGATAATATTCTTTGCAATTTTATTTAAATAGATGCTATCGTTAATGTCTACAAACCATCAAAATTGCATCCACTCCACGGTTCAAAATACTAATTATGCTCTTAGAGCCTCAATGTAATTGATATTCACATTTTTCATACTTGAAATAGAAACATTCAAATCCGGCACCTCAGGTGTTGGGGGAGTTTTCAGAAATGAAGGGAATCAAGGGACTATGCTAACAATGGGCTCAGATCCTCAAGGAGAGGCAGACTCGATCACAGCCGAGGTGATGTCAGTCTACAGGATTAAGGATGGCTAAAGCAGCAAAGTTCAACACTATACTAATAGAAGGGGACTCCATGGTAGTTAAAGATTGATTAAAGGATGAGAAAACAGGATTGTGGAGATTCAGATACAAACTCCGAGAAGYCCTAATGGCTGAACTGAATTGCTTATGTATCTGGGTTCCTAGATCTGCAAATGTTTGGCAGACAACCTAGCCAAAAAGGGGGTTAAAAGAAATGAGAAATTTCCGGGCTCGCTAATCATTTGTAATTCCATGCATCCATGTATGTAGTGGGTTGGCTAGCTGAGGCTAGATTGTATTGCTCTCCACTCCTTTTTCTTAATGAAATCTCTTTTTAGTTGCTGATCAGGAATATGTGTACACACACACACACACACACACAATAGCATTAGAGCAAAAGTAGAGCCAGTTTGGATTGGGTCTGGCTGCTCAAAGGGGTCAACCCTAACCAACCTGAAGTGAAGTCAGGTTGGCAAAACTCAGCCTTAACCTTAACCTGATAGTCAACCCAACCCAACCATTTCAGGTTGGGTTCAGTCTAACCTACCCCAAGTTGCACCCCCAGTAGGGGATCAATGCTCAAAGTACAGAAATACATTTAAAAATAGTAACATTAGATGGGCAAGATCAATAACATTATAGCTATAATATACCAAGCCCGGGACTAAGGGTTAGAACCACCCAAGTAAACATGAGACAGCCATAAAAAGATGTGCTTACCTCAGCAAATACCGCAACAATTTTAGGAAGATATTGGTTGTTAGGTCCCAAAAGCTCTCTATCAGACCTGAAAAAAAATAATAGATAAAACTTTTTTGATAGATAATTAATGGGTGAAATTTAACAATCAATATACTGCAAACCTAAACGGAAAAAATAAGTGGTGCAACAAGCGTAAAAGAACAAAGGCTAAAAGTTATTTTAGACCATCCATCCATCGCAATAAGAAATCAAATGCTTGCCTTTCTACCATAGAACACAGTTGATCATGCACTACTTTGGCTTCAATAAGATCACCTTTTATGGGCAAGCAGCTTAACCAGGCTGGAACAACCTGTCACAAAACATAGCCAAGTTACAAAATGGAACAGTGCATGTCACAAACTTCTTGTGAACGAAAAAACTACAAAACAGCCTACTTGCAGGAAGTTAATAAGCAAGAAAAATCAATAAGATGATCTTGTTGTTGCATAACCCCTTCTTCTGCCAAATATCTAGAGACCACATTGAGCACCCATTATTCACCTATGTATCGGAATGAATCACCTGCCCCCAGATAACAAGAATGCTGTTGAACTAACTTTAAATGTTCATTCATTTGACCACAAAAGGTCGAACCATTCTTTATATTTTAATTTTAACTAAGAATAATTCTTTGCAACCTTTTATACAGCAATACTTTGTGCAGTGTGCCCCTTCAGTTTGCAATCAACATCAAGCTAACAGTTATGGTGCTGTTCCAATGAATGGAACATTAGATTTTCAAGGGCAAAAGATCCATGCTTCAAATACTTAAGTCAGAAATTTTATGGATTTATTGGCCTTGATAACTTCATCAAGATAAAAAGGCTCCTGCAGCTACAACTATGAAATTTTAATTTTAGGAAATGAAAAGATTCTTAAAAGAGCATATTTTAATTAATATCAAAGTTTATGTATCACATAAACAATTGTGTCTCATACTCTCATTCAATATAGAACAGTCAAATGAGTAAATAGACATTTATATACAATACATTAATAGAATTGTGAGGTACCTAATAATGTTTCTCTGACAATATGATTTAGGAAATTTTTGAACCCATCTCTGACTACATGTTTCTCTGATATTCTCCCATTCTTTTCTGTTAATTTCCTTTTCTGCTCTTTCATTTGGTACAACCAAATGAAATTTAATAGAACTGTATCTTAAGGCACAGGTTTTCAACTCCCAACAAGCCAGAGCCCCTTACATCTTAGTCTTACAAAGTAGCCCAAATGGCCCCTACAAACCCCTTGTTTAGCAAGTGATTCATTTGCCAATCTGCTAATCCATCTGAAAGAAACCTCTACTTCTCCTGCCAGTGCCTTGATTATCCTCATAGTTGTAATTTAATAGCATCAGTGTTGACACACCCAACCAACCAATTTATGTACTGTTGCAGCTTTAAAAAAATCTAAGACAGGACCAGGTCCCTGCCTTTGTTATTATTATTTTAATTTTCTTATGTTTCATTATCCTTCATCAATCAAAAATATTTCTTCTCCCTTTCTGTCACTTAGTGAACATGGTTCTATCCCTTTATTTTTTCAAGTATAATCTCTTTTTCTATAAAAATTCTGCAAATATATTGAGTATAATGACTGAAAGCATCATTGCCTGGCAGCAATAGTGCTTTGATATGAACCTACAATCGGTGTTTTACTATTTATTTCAATGTAAAGGACAATGACTCATTATGGCATCATATATGTAATATAAACCATAGGGGGTCAGCTACATGAATTCTGTTTTGCCATTCTGATCCATGAAGACATGGCATTTTGTGGTATCTCCATATTACCAAAGACTATTCTTTATGAAGAAACGATGCCCAGCGCAACAATGCGCTCCCATCACCTTGCTTGCTAAGTGCCATGGAAAATATGTCATCAAGGTCATAACATGTTTAAAAAAATCATGTAACTCAACAATCATGTCATAAGTGGGCATAACATAAAACACACCAAGTAGGCAATATGTTACATGCCATCCAAAACATCAAAAGAAACTTTTGTGACAAACCATAAATATGTTGATCTTGTTAGACAGTTGTATGCCCATAGCTTCAATCAGAATTATGTACATTATGAATTTATTGTAAATGAATAAAGTACACATTTGATTCATGTTCCTGTAGTGTGTTTATGTGTAATACCCTTAAAYTGGACACTTAATGAGACTTGTATTAGTTTAGAATGTTCACAGCCATTGGGTAAGTCTGGGGAGATTTATCCTGCAAAGGCTGACACTGATGTGCGGCCAACTGTTGGGGTGGCTTGTCTCAGCTACCAGGGTGAGACCCAAAGCACATGCAGTGTAAGATTAATAGAACCTCTAACCGGACCAGATTTCCAGTATTGCCCTAGACCTTGGAGATAGATGGGCAAAACTAGAAAGTTACACCTGACCCCTAGACTCGATTATGATACTGCACTAGGTGTTGGATTGGGCCGTCTTTGATGTACCAATCAGTGAGATCCTTAGCGGGGGTCAAAACCTGGGTATATTGGGACAGTCCGAGA